TTGATTAAATGTTGCCTTTATTATCCATCTATTCAATTTCTAAAACTATAGACTAAATCAACTAAAGCTACCACATCAGTTTATTATTATTATTATTATTATTATTATTATTATTTTGAACGTAACAGAAGCAATAAATGGACAATGTTGATAAAACTATTGTTTCCATTTCTTGGACAAAACACAAAATGCCTATACAGAAAACCAAATAAGTGAATTCTAATAGCTTTCTATCATTCCTCCACCTGCACCAGCTGAATGAAGCGAGCGTGCACGGGAGGACTCGCTGTTGCAAGTTCTTTGAAATTTAAAGCGTCAGTCAAAAATTGCTTTATGATTATGGGGGGGGAAAAGTATATAAGTTGCTTCGACGTATAAGTTGCAGGATTGACAAATCTATGGAAAAAAACTGACTTATACGCCAAAAAATATGGTACTTGTTTTAGTTAAGTCAGTATCTGTGATAGAGTTCTTACCTCTCGGCGAACAGAGCTCAGTTTATCGATCTTTTGATTGTGCTTTCACGTTAGTCTGAGTGAACTTTGGTAAGACGGACAGAGAATCTCTGAAGCATAACAGAGTGTCGTGCCAGCCTCTTTAGAAACCCTCAGTCAACTCTTTGATGCTGCAGCCTGACTGCCTCCAGTAAAATAATCTATCCTTTGACACGCACCCAGTTTTAGTCATGACACTCAATTCTTAAAGGGTTTTTTTTATCAATTCTGTGGTTGCACATTAAACTTGACTGTTTTATGTGATTTTTTTAAAGAGCCATCTGAAGGTATTTATTACATAAAGCTGGCAGTTTGCTTTCAGGATATTAAACAAAACAATGTTGCAAAATCTAAAACAGTTAAATCTGGTCCTCTGGACATTCAAAAAAACAAAACAAAGCAAAACAACAAAAAAATGTAGAAACGTTTCGTCTCTCATCCGAGAGACTTCCTCAGTCTGAGGTGCTGTTTTCAGCTCAGTCTCTTAAATAGCACCTTCCCAGAGTGGATCAACCAGTTTTGCTGCTGACAACCAAAACCAGCTGATCACATGCTCAAGAAGGACCATCAGCCTAACGATGGATCATTAGCACACTGATGGCTGTGTACTATCCACAGAGGGCTGAGTGATACTAGCAATCACAGCATTGTAAGAGGGGGACAATTGAACACGTAGGCCTCCACCCCTGTTTAACGATGGACGATTTCTTTTCACAAAGATGGCCTCCTTTACTCCTCTCTCAAACCATCGTTCCTCTCTATCCAAGATGTGCACATCTTCATCCCTGAAAGAGTGACCGCTGGCCTGGAGATGAGTGTAGATCGCAGAGTCCTGGCCTGTTGATGTTGATCTTCTATGCTGGTCCATCCTTTTGGCCAGTGGCTGTTTTGTTTCCCCGATGTAAGACTGACCACAGCCCTCCTGACACTGAAAAGCATACACAACATTACTCTGTTTGTGCCGGGGGACTGGATCTTTGGGATGAACCAGTCTTTGCCGTAATGTATTTTGGGGTTTAAAAGCCACAGAACCACTGTGTCAACTCTTGAAACTATGCCTGCAGTCAACCTACTTCATATATGGGGAGCAATATTATAGGCAGAAATATGGGTGTGCTATGGGGTCTCCAGTTTCTCCTATTGTTGCTAACCTGTACATGGAGGAGGTAGAAAAGAGAGCCTTGACGTCCTTTTCAGGGACACCACCAAGTCATTGGTTCAGGTATGTTGACGACACCTGGGTTAAAGTTAAATCTCAGGAAGTCCAACATTTTACTGACCACATCAACTCTGTGGATAAATTTATAAAGTTCACACGAGAAGATGTAAAAAATGGCAAGTTGGCTTTCTTGGACTGTGAGGTCTCAGTCTCTGATAGAGGACATTTGCAAACTGAGGTGTACCGCAAACCCACACACACAGACCAGTATTTGCAGTTTGACTCCCATCACCCTTTGGAGCACAAGTTAGGAGTCATCAGGACTCTGTATCACAGAGCAGACAGCGTCCCCACTAGCTCAGGAGCCAGGCAGAAGGAGAAATCCCACACAAGACAGGCTCTAGAGCAATGTGGATATCCTAACTGGGCCTTCCTGAAAGCAGAGAAGAAACCCAAACAGGACTCCAGTCAGCCAACAGGTGAAAAGGAGGAACCCAGACCCAGACCAGTGGTCATTCCATATGTTGAGGGAGTATCAGAGAAACTGAGACGTTTATTTTCTAAACATAACGTCCCAGTGGCTTTTAAACCCCAAAATACATTACGGCAAAGACTGGTTCATCCCAAAGATCCAGTCCCCCGGCACAAACAGAGTAATGTTGTGTATGCTGTTCAGTGTCAGGAGGGCTGTGATCAGTCTTACATCGGGGAAACAAAACAGCCACTGGCCAAAAGGATGGCCCAGCACAGAAGATCAACATCATCAGGCCAGGACTCTGCGGTCTACACTCATCTCCAGGCCAGCGGTCACTCTTTCAGGGATGAAGATGTGCACATCTTGGATAGAGAGGAACGATGGTTTGAGAGAGGAGTAAAGGAGGCCATCTTTGTGAAAAGAAATCGTCCATCATTAAACAGGAGTGGAGGCCTACGTGTTCAACTGTCCCCCTCTTACAATGCTGTGATTGCTAGTATCACTCAGCCCTCTGTGAGTAGTAAACAGCCATCAGTGTGCTAATGATCCATCGTTAGGCTGATGGTCCTTCTTGAGCATGTGATCAGCTGGTTTTGGTTGTCAGCAGCAAAACTGGTTGATCCACTCTGGGAAGGTGCTATTTAAGAGACTGAGCTGAAAACAGCACCTCAGACTGAGGAAGTCTCTCGGATGAGAGACGAAACGTTTCTACATTTTTTTGTTGTTTTGCTTTGTTTTGTTTTTTGAATGACCAGATTTAACTGTTTCAGATTTTTCCACCTGGATTACTGAGCATGCATCAGGAAATGTTGCAAAATAATTTTCTAACTATTAGCAATAAACAACAGCATTACCAGTAGGTATTATGTATTTTAATACACACACACATCTTCCATCCATCCATTTTCTTTACCCGCTTATTCCATTTTGGGTCACGGGGGTCGCTGGTGCCCATGTCCAGTAATCACTGTGCGAGGGGCGGGGTACACCCTGGACGGGTCGCAAGTCCATCACAGGGCCACACAGAGACAAACGAGACAAACAACCATTCACTCTCTCACTCACACCTAGGGACAATTTAGAGTTACCATTTAATCTAAAATAGATGTTTATAGTCTGTGGGATGAAACTGGAGCTTTGTATTTTCCGCCGTAAATGTCGCACCACCCTATAGGTCGCATCAGTCCAAATATGTCTAATAAAGTGGAAAAATCCATGAATATGTCACTTTACCATATACATTGCATCTATTATGCGTCACCGCTGACAATCCGGAAATGTGGGCCGAATCTGGAAATGTTCCAAAAATCGATCGGCTGCCAAATGGCTGCCGCGGGAGCGTGCACGGGAGGACTTTAACAAGAATTTAACAACATTAACACTTAAAAACAATTATTTGTTTGCTCAAAATTATAGCAAAGGTGTGTCTCAGTTGAACTTTTCCTTAAAAAAATGCACTTTAATGGTAAAATCAGCTGTGTTTCAAAAGCCGATTCGCAGAAACATGAACGTGCAGAGGGTGACTCGCTGTCCATTTCTTTGAAATTTAACAAGATAACCACCTAAAAACAATTATTTGTTAGTTCGATTGTATAGTAAAGGTGTGTCTCAGTTGAACTTTTACTTAATGAAAGCACTTCAATGGTCAAATTAGCTGCATTTCACCGGGGCGGCGTAGCAAAATGAAGCTGATTTGACAGCTGCTCCAGGCAGACGACGGTGGCAGTTATGGCAAGCCGATTGTGTCATTAATAGCCACTTTTACCTATTACATGATACAACGGCATGCCATACACTCGACAACCATCTAGTGGCTGAAAATGACAGTGTTCAATATTTTCAGTCAGAATGAATGAAAACGGTCATATCTCAGCCAAAAATTGGTTTAAAAATATGGGAAAAGAATCCATAAATACATCGCTTCGGCATATAAGTCGCAGGGCATGCACATTATGCAAAAAACTGTGATTTATATGGCGAAAACTGCAGTACCCGAAGAGCACCTACTTATGTATGGAGAGAACATGCAAACTCCACTCATCTTGAAAGCTACTCAGGATACTGTATACATTTCCATTTACAGTTCATAACCGAAGCATAAAACGATTTTCAACAAGTAAATATCATTATGTGTATAAGAAGTCAATCAGACCAAAGAAGACAGGAGATATTCCCTCTGTTCTTTTGCTCAACAAAACAAAATGTTTTACAATATGTCCGTTCAACTGAAAGCCAGGGCTTGTCTGAGCTAAGCTGGCGCATCATTCTTGTAAGAGTTTCTTCATTGACTGACTCCACAGGAGCACTTTTAGACATGCTAATAAAATAACCAAGGATCCCAGCCATAATAAAATTAGGGCGAATGAGTACAGGGAAAATAAATACAAAGACTATTTTTGTCCCTTTATCATGCTACTCAGAAAAGACACTTTGAAACTTTTGGGTCTTTTAACTGTTTAATTTTGTGTAATATTTTTAGTTTTCTTGCTGTTTCTTCAGCAGTTATGTGTGTACTGGAGCTTGTGATGCAAGGCGTGTCTGTTAGTGGACAATGAAGTAAGTCAAAGATCAGAACACAAAGTCAAACTGGTTTTGCACTTTTTGGTAATTTCTTCTCAACTTTAAGCAAATCACTTATTGTTGCCATGGAAACATGGCTCCAAAACATGGCTTCAAAGTTAGCCTTAGGTAACTTGCATTTCAGGGATTTTTTTTTTCGTCCCGTGTCACAAAATTACTGGATATCTGCCCTCGGTTCAATTATGTGTCAATCCACCAAACCATTCCACTTTAAAAACTAATTATACCAGTGGCCTATTTCATTAAAAGTCATTTTTCATGTGCAAGGACGGAGACGCGCGAGTTCTCCTACCTGCTGGTGTCAGCTGAGGTGATGGCGATGAGTGGCGGTGCACGTAAAGGCAGTGTTGTGGGCCTCGGGGGAACCGTGACTGTGTCTGGTGAATGTGGGAGGGACTGGAGCAGAAAACACGAGGAGCACTGGGGAACAGAATACTGAATGACTCAAATGACACAACCACAGAAAATAAACTAACAAAATACACAGATCCTTACAGGCTCAGGCTTACGGTCGCAGTAGTACTGCTCTGCTTGTCGAAAGGCTAACGGTGGCAGCTGGACCGCCCGGCATGAAAGTCTTCGCACCAGAAAGGGCTCCATGCATATGACTGGCTCAGGTTCTGGGGAGTCGGATGATTCATCGGACACCTGAAATATAAGAAGCAAAATCTAAAGAAAACCTTTAAAGATTTTTCTCTAAAAATAAAATAGTTTGCCTGAAAGTAACCATTTGTTCTTGTGTTGTGCTCTTTATTTAAGCATAAATTCACATGTGGTTTTCAAAGACCAATAAGAAACACAGAGCTTGCTCAACCTGCAATATATTGTAAATTAAGCTTAATAGCACAGGCACGAGTCTTATTCCTGCAGGGTTTAGTAACCAGACCTTTAATCAACACAATTATAACCTTCACTGGTGCAGAATCTATTGCAAGACTGTTATATAACGCAGGATGCTTTGTTTAAAGGTGTGCTCGATAAAGCTTGCATTTATTATCGTCTACAGGGAGAACAGATGCTTAGTAGCAGGAAGTTTTCTTTGGATGCCTTCAGGATTTGCTGGATTTTCAATATGGATGGTTTGCTCTTTTTAACTAGCTTTATGCAGAGAAGCTCAAAACTAAGAGAGCAAACCAATGAAGCAAGTAAACCTACTCTGCTGAATTGTTCATTTCTGAATTCTTTTGCGTTTGATATACAGTAAATACTCAACCTTCTCTGCACCAATAGGCAGGCAGATATGATTTTCAATAAATAAATATGAAGGTGTTTTTTGTTATATTTTTTTGGAATGTACAAAATGCTATGACGTGTGTGTTACAAAAATTTAAAACCAGTAAGAGAAATTAGAAAAAGGTCAGTGAAGACCTGACAAGGGTTTAAACAGAACGAAAAGCGGAAGCTGAAAGTGAAATGACACAGCATGCATAGCAAAGAGAGGAGGGGAAAAGAGAGAAAGAAACAGCCCCATGGAAGCTCGAGACTGTAAAACATCTGAGATGAGACCAGAATGAGAGGACAGAAACTCATTCTGCAGTAGCAGGTTAACCAGGAGGAAACACATCGGGTGGTCAATATGCCATTAAGTGGTTATCAGAAAGGATGTCTCTGCTGAGGTCATGGCAGCTGCAGGAACTTTCAAAACATCAGTCATTCCAGTCAAGAAGTCCCTGTTTTACATTGTAATCCAACTTTACAACCATTTTCAATACCAATCACCAAAAGCAAATTATTCTTCTTTCTATTAAAATTGCTGTTTTGCTTTCTGTGAATTTGCCTATACGGCGCAAAGCCTTTTTTTTATTTGCACTGTTACTGAACATATCCAAGCTCCTAAAGGACAGTCGATAGGAGTTCAATTTCATGTAGATTCTTTCCTTGGGGACAGCGCAGAGGTGATCCATTATTTGTTTATCGACTGGTTCCAAGATCTTTCAGGATTCGGGACACACTTGAATATATCAGTGCACATGTGGTGCAGACTCATGAGACAGCGTGATAAATGGGGGCTGATTGTGGGCCATTAATCTTGCTTCAAACAACACACAGTCATTGTTCTGCATGAAGGAACAAAAGCCTCCACTGTAGAGGTAATGGTCAAGCATCACCTTCATATTCACTTCAGATGTTTTACAAGTGCTTCAACGTTGTGGGAATTTTTAGAGGGCAAAGCCGAGGCCATTCATGTTTGCCAGTTCTGATGTAAAGTACAGGTAGGACAGTTCAAATCAGCAGTTTACACTGTAGCTTAATGATTCAGCGGCCAATGAATGTCAAAGGCGTCACAAGAAGCTACTCCTTTTTTCTTTGCTTCTTCTCAAACTGGTCCTGATCATTAGTTCGCCGTGCTTGCAGAAGGTCTTTAAAAGTTTATCTTTAGTCTTTGGCTGCTATTTTTAAATTTAATTTTAGTTCAGCCCTTGTGCCTTAACGTCACAGCAACATATCCAATGTGATAAAATTGGGGAAAGTGAACAAGTGGAGTGGTAGGTGTCAGTCGTAAACATAAAAATATTTTTTTTAAATTCTGGAAGTTACATCTTTCACAAAAAGAAAAAAAAAGTTTGTTCAAAGATGTGAAACATGATTTGAAAAATGTATCTTAGTTGATCATAAACTGTATGACAGGCTTTCAACTAATTGAGTTATACAAGTATTTTATAAAAGATGGGGAGTGGTGGCGCAGAGGTTAGAGAGGTGGGCCTGTGAACTGAACAGGTTCACGCCCCGACAACATAAAAAAAAAATTGTAGGTGGGGTAGGTGAAGCACCCACACTTGCCCCCACCCTCATTCGCCCCACCCTGGGCCCATGAGCAAGGCCCTAAACCCCCATCTGCTCCCTAAACAGGTCTCTCTTGAAAATGAGTTCTCGTGGCTCAATGAGAGACTACCTGTATAAATAAAGGGTAAGTGAAAAAAAAAAAAAGAAAGTGTTATATTTGGTGCTCTTCAAAGATCTAAATAAAATAAATCTCGTCTTTGTGACAGTGAGACAGTGCCAAAAAGATCCCGTTTTATTTTATTTTTTGCTAAATTGTCTTCAGTGTGATGACACAGCACTAAAGTATTTCATTATTTAAGATTCAGAACTTTTTGTCTCTGCTGCCAGAGTCTTAACTGGAGTTAGTGGGAGAGATCATATTTCTCCAGTTTTAGCTTCTCTCCATTGGCTCCCTGTCAAACCCAGAATTGTCTTTCAGATACACCTGGACCTATATCTGGACCTACCATTCTGCGTTTGTCTGTCTCTCCTTCCTGTCCTCTCAAACCAGCCAGTCAAAGCAGATGGCCGCTTGTCCTGAGCCTGGTTCTGCTGGAGGTTTCTTCCTTTTAAAAGGGAGTTTTTCCTTTCCACTGTTGCCACTGTGCTTGCTCAGGATGGGAGACTGCGACGAAGCCAAGATTCAACGTGTCTGCTGGCCTCCGTGGATAGAGAACTTTACTAATTGGCTTTTATGTATGTAAATATTTCTGTAAAGTGCCCTGAGACAACTTTGTTGTGATTTGGCACTATATAAATAAAATTAATTGAATTGAATTGAATTGAATTGACGGAAGTTGTTCAAATCTGTCATTACAAACTGTTCTTAGTGGTTGGCATAGCCCAAAAAAAAGGTTTGTGCAGCCTCGACACGTACTGGAAATGTTTTTCATGAAACCACTTTGGGAAAAGTGTTGGACACATTTATCAACACATGTCTAGTAGTGCAAATACAATCTGTCCTGAGTCATGCTCTAAGTCATCCTCTTGAACTTATGTGACTCCATACAGGCAGTAAGCATGCTGTCTCCAGACAAGAAAAAAAACATACACACACACATACATATATATAGTTTTTTTTTTTTTTTTTT